ACTTGGCTCGATGATGTCCCACTTCAGTGATGGGTCGGCAGCAGCCTTGATGCGGAATTGCCGATCGTAATCCAGCCACCCTTCCGGCATGAATCGGCGATTGGCCTCAGCAATTAGGCCCTGATAGGACAGCAACTCTGCTGTCCTGTGCGGAGCAACGTCGATCATGACCTGGACCAAGACGGTGAAGGCCTCAACCCACGTCGCAAGATCATAAACATGCCTACTCTTGCCGCGAGCAGCGCCTTCCACCACACGTAATGGGTTCCCAACGGACATTTCAAATCTTACCACATTCTGTGCGCGAGCGCGCGGACACAGAGCAAGACACAGTGGGCAGGAGCTCACTCAACTCGACGTACTGACCCGTCACGATCTGCTCACGAACTTTAGCGCCCAGGTGTACAGCGAAAAACTTGCTGCTCCCTAAGCTGGCTCGTTGAGGGCCCGGGTGCAGATGAGGTTGTGAATCCACGGCCGCCAGAATTGTAGGAAACGTCCCTGAAACCATCGAAACAATCGTGGAGCGCAAGGTCTCCGGAGTTATAGCTGACGTTGATGACGCAGACGTCGCCAATGACTCGCGTTCTCTGCTGCCTGCTCCGCTCGCCGCACTCGGGGTAGAACGGCAGGATTCAGCGTGGTGAAGTACCTGCATCAGGCGATCGGCGAGGGCAGCTTTCCTGCCCGAAGTATTCAAATCCAAGAGCGAGAGTTCGCTGCGGAGACGCAGAACCGTCATGGTGCGAATTTCATTGACAGTGAAGGCAGCCATGGCTCGCAACAACAAGGATGAGAACGAGGCAAAGCACAAGGATGAGAACGAGGCAAAGCACAAACTGTGAAACACAGCGATCTGACAAGAGTGATCCACACACAGAACGGATCGAAGTATATATCTAGGAAAACTTTAGCATGACACGTTGAGTGCCCACGATGCATGCCGCCTACGTTGAGCGTAGTCATGGACCAGCGAAAACAGCCCTTAGGGTCAACATTTTCAAAACTCCTTTTCGGTTAGAAATTTGTTGAAACACGTCATCTGAAAGACCTCGGCCAGGAAAAGGTTCAGTATTCCGATTCAAACCGGGTGTATACACCAATGCACTAGATGTACTCCAAATTGGTGCAATGTATGTATACGTTGCATGTGTGCAATGAATATTCAGCATTCTAAGGTGGGTGGGCAGCTTGAATACCTTTGAAATAGTGCAGTAAGCAGCTAGAATGACAAAGAATGGCTGATGAGTACGGAGACATGATCGACATATTCGCAGCTGCATCCAGGGTGGAGCCATTCCCCAATATCATCTTCCATTTCTTCCTCCACAGCTGAAGACACAACGTCGCTGACGTCACTAGCGGCTAAACCCCAAACTCAGAGTTTATCTCAGATGACGACTCCTCATCTTCCGACTCTGCCGAGTCATCGACCACCTTGAGCCGCATTGCAGCAAGAGATGACGGCTGTGATTCCGCCTCGCTGTCAACATCGATGTCGGAACCAAAGAACGTCTCATCCTCACTCTGAACTTCAGCAGCTACTTGAGCTTTCACTCCCCACCAGGCTCGAGCTAGCTGTACACAATGACTGCCGCGCTTGCTCTGCGAACAGCTCCGGCATCCGCAGCCATCGCAACAAGATCAAGGAACACTCGAGTCGCCACTCGACACCACATCAACTTCAAAATAAATTACTTCAAGCAAGGAGTTCGCAGGGCGATCAAAAAATCGTTAAACGTCACAAATCGACCATTTTCTCGGGGAAAAACGAAATCTGTAGACAGATCTCCTGTGTACCGGTCTTGTGGCACAATGATTATAGCCATTTGTCGTCTCCATTCTTGTGCATTCTTGCATGTGTAGGTTGGTTCTCTTCATGTGATTGTTATTGTGACCTATTTTATAGATGTTGGTTACCATGTTGCTTTCTCTCCCCTCTCCTCTCACCCAAGCCATTCTGCATAAGCGAAGCTGTGGACGCAGCATACTGCTGCTACACTTCAACGCGGGAATGCGTAAAATAATACAGTCGTCCCTCTCTAATCGGGCACCTTTTGCAACGGCATTTTCTGCGAGATAAACAAGAGTGCTGGATTATCAAATCCTGCCCTTCAACCCGGCCCACATGCTATCATACATGTTTGTGTCGTACGTCAAAACGTAGGGGTTTTCTGTGTCAAACCAAGTACTTTGTGGAATGCATGTCTATAACATACACTTGTGAATATCTTATGCACTAGCATAGGATATTCCCAAGTGTATGTTACATGTGTTGTGTGTGTTACAATGGTCCCTGACAGTATGCGATGTACAACTGCTGGGTTAGAAAATCGAATTATGTCCAGTTTGAGTGATTTGTTGCAGAAAATCGCTGCTGGAGGCGGAATTCAAGTGCCGGATTAAAGCGTAGAAAATGAACTGAAAAAATCCGTTTTGCCAGAAAGTGTGCTGGTTTGCAAGGGTGCTGGATAAACAAGTGCCGAATTAGAGAGGAACG